GAGAGAGAGAGAGAGAGAGAGAGAGAGAGAGAGAGAGAGAGAGAGAGAGAGAGAGAGAGAGAGAGAGAGAGAGAGAGAGAGAGAGAGAGAGAGGGCGGCACGTGGCACGGAGCAGTCATGGCGCGTGGCAAGGAGCAGGCATGCGCGTGTCAATAGCCGTGTAGCAAGCAGACCTGCGGGCACATCGCGGGACGGGTCGTGCACGTGTCGCTGCCGCGGCCAGCTCGCATAGACGCCGCCAGTCGTACCGTCGGCGAGGCCGCCCGCCGAGCCGACCGCCGGAGAAAGAGTCTGCGCCGCCGACACCTCCTCCTCCGTCGCTTCGGCGGGCAGCAGGCGATCCCGCCCTCCGACCGCCTCCTCCTCTACCCCGCCCGCCTCCTCCGGCCTCGCCGCCGTGCCCGCGGAGAGCCTCCGCCGCCGTTCCGCGCCCTGAGACACCCGCGCACCGCCTTCGGACAACAGCCTCCTCCGCTGCTCTCGCCTGCGCACCTCAGCCTCGCCGCGCGCTTTGAGGTCCTCAAAGCGTCGCGCGGCGGCGTCGGAGCGCAGCTCGGCCCGCGGCGGCGGCTCCTCCTCCGGAGCCTCCTCCAGCTGCCGCAGCTCCGCGGCGAGCTGCGCCTGCTCGGCCCTCGCCTCCTGCTGCAGCACCTCGATGGCGCCGGCCGCGGCGTCGAAGCGGTCGCGCTCGCGCCGCTCCTCGCGGTCGCGCATCGTGCGGCTGTCCCGGCGGAGCGCCTCCACCTGCCGCAGCCGCTCTCTCAGCTCCACCGCCTTGCCTCGCGCAGGCAGGCCCTCGGCGACGCAAGCGCGCTGCAACTCGCGCCACGAGAGCACCTCGATGTCGCCGTGGTCGAGCCGGACTACGCGGATGCGAGGCGACCGGCAGGCCGGGAGAGGGGCAGCGGAGTAGAAGGCGGACGTGGCAAGCCATAGGTGAATCATGCCTGCCCGGGCCTCCAGTGATCGCGGTGGAGAAGCGATCGCGGCATCTGGCAAGGAAAAGAATTTTACAACGCAAGTCCTCGCACAACACTGTCCCCGCACGCTAGCTCGTTCACCGTCTAAAGAAATAGGACTACGTTTAACCGGGTCTCGCAACAAGTGCAATACAGAGCCTCGCACCCTTTCGCCTTCTCATCACTGCCCCGGCGCCCACGCCTCGACCTGCTTGGGCAGCAGCTGGTTGGAAAGGTCCTCTCCGTGGCCTAGAATGCCGCTTTCACCCATGCCCCAGGTGAAGGTGGCGCCGTCGGCGGTGAGGGCGATGCTGCGGTCGTTTCCCGCCGACACGGCGACGACGCGCCGCCCTTCCAGCGTCTCGACCTTCTTCGGCAGCAGCTGCTGCTGCTCGTCGCCGTGGCCCAATCGGCCGAAGAGACCGTAGCCCCAGCTCCAGACGGCGCCGTCGGCGGTGACGGCGAGGCTGAGGTTGGCTCCCGCCGACACAGCGACGACGCGCTGGCCAGCAAAGGCCTCGACCTTCTTGGGCAGCGGCTGGTTCTGCTCGTCGCCGTGGCCCAGCCGGCCAAAGGTTCCACCGCCCCAGCTCCACATGCTGCCGTCAGCGGCGAGGGCGAGGCTGTGGTGCAGCCCAGCCGACACAGCGATAATGCGCTGGCCAGCAAAGGCCTCGATCTTCTTGGGCAGCAGCTGGCGCTGCTCGTCGCCGTGGCCCAGCTTGCCAGAGCCTCCACCGCCCCAGCTCCAGACGGCGCCGTCGGCGGTGACGGCGAGGCTGAGGTTGGCTCCCGCCGACACAGCGACGACGCGCTGGCCAGCAAAGGCCTCGACCTTCTTGGGCAGCGGCTGGTCCTGCTCGTCGCCGTGGCCCAGCCGGCCAAAGCCTCCACCGCCCCAGCTCCACATGCTGCCGTCAGCGGCGAGGGCGAGGCTGTGCATGTCTCCAGCCGACGCGGCAGCGACGCGCTGACCAGTGAGGTCCTCGACCTTCGTCGGCTCCAGCTGGGCCTGCTCGTCGCCGTGGCCCAAGCGGCCTTGGCGTCCACTTCCCCAGCTCCAGACAGCTCCGCCGGCGGTGAGGGCGAGGCTGTGGTATGCTCCAGCCGACACGCTCACGGCGCGCTCGCCGCCCAGCGGAGAAGGGAGGCGCGTCGGCGCGTTGAGCCGCGTCACGCCCTCGCCGTGGCCGAGCAGGGCTGGAGAGTAGGACGGCGCAAAGCCGCACGACGAGAGCCGCCCCTCGCCATCGATGAAGACGCTGTGCCGCTCGCCTGCTGCCGCCCTCGCCGGCGGGTTGGACTCGCACAGCAGCGCAGCAACGCACAGCCACCGCACGGCGCAGCTCTCGCCCTCTGGCTGCGCCGGCAGCTCGAAGCCGCGCTCTTGCGCCCGCAAGCGGATGCTCTCCACCGCAAGCGAGGCGTGGAAGAGCAGCGAGACGGCCGCGACACGAGCGATGTCGGCGGGGTCGCAGCGAGAGACGACGCGCACGAGGAGGTCCGTGGGGAGGTCAAGGAAGTGGGTGGGTGGCGGCGTGTCTGGCGGGGGAGCGGTGGTGGGCGCGAGCGGGGCAGACATGATCGCGAGAAAAAGAATTCGGTCGGGGCATTGGGTGGTAACAAGCATCCCCTTAAAATCCCTGTGTGGTGGCGGCGTGCCGTCCTCCCATCCCTCCCTTGGGTCGTCCGTTTTCTTTCTTTCTTTAAGCATCCCCGAGTGTCTTCAAACCAAATAGGGTGTGAATAGAGCTGTCTTGTCTTGATGGTCCTGAGGACGAAGACACCTCAAACTTTGATGAAGCCGCGAGTTTAAATAGTTTTCATTAGCTGTGAATAGGAGGTATTTTCTTCTCAATAACAAGGCTGTGAATAGTTTATGCGCGCCTGTTACCTGGGTTTCGCGCCACGGGCCACGAGAGCCCTGGTAGAGCCCAGCTGGCATGTTCAATCGTCCGGGTGGTGGGCTGTTTGCACGCAGACGTCTCGTCGCCGTGGCCGACGCATGGCTGGTCCGACGTGTGGAGGAGTTTGACCTCAGCCAGGCCGTCGGTGTCGGCGGGCTGACGGCAGCCGCCGGAATCGCGATTCGCTCTGCCAGCTGCCAGCAGCCTCGTGTCGCCGCTCGTTGGCGCAGCAGCAGCGATTGGCCTTTGCGCCGTCGCTCGACGGCGTCACCGCCCATCCGACCTGCGCAGCTCCTGCAGCTCCTGCTGTCAGTCTTCTGCTCTCACGCACCTCACTCGCCGCGCGCGGATTGTGCGCCGCGCCAAGCAGGACACGTGCTCAAACAATGCGAGAACTTGGTTGCGCCGCTTAGTGGCGGCGCTGCTTTAGAGGAAGCGGCAGCGTGGGAGGCAAAGCAGATGGAGGCGGCGCGGCATGCCAAGGAGCTGCTGCTGGCGGAGGTTGAGCGGCTAAGTGCAGCAAGGGCCAAGAGCAAGAAGGGCAAGAAGAAGAAGAAGAATGTGGACGTGGGCGATACGGGCGCCGCTAGGCTCAACGAGGAGATGCTGTGCAGTTAGAGAGCTCGTAGCGAGCTCGATTTTGATGAGAATTTGATGACGGAAATATCTCAATTTTGAGCAAAAAACGCCCAAAAAAATCGGCGCCTGCGGCGGGCCAGCCTCCGGCGGCGCCTGCGGCGGGCCGCTGGGGCCTCCGCCCCAGACCCCGTTTACACCCGAGCTATGCCCCACGACCGGGACATGAAGACCGGTTGCCGTCGCCGCCTCGCGGGCCTCCGCGTTGAAGAGGAAGAGGCGGCGCGGGACCTTCCTTGTACCACAGCGCCACCATGGGGATGAGCCCGGGGGGTACCAGCGACGCAGGCCAGCAAAGATGGCCTCTCGTGAGATGGAGTTGAAGCCATTCAAACTTCTTGTCGTCCCCGAGGCCCGCGCGACGGCGTGCCGCAGCGTAATGAATAAAACGGAAGTCACCTCGATGGGTAAAGCGGGAATCATTGCCGTCATTGAGAGCGAGCTTTTCCCCTGGTAGTAAGCTGCGGAAGTTTTCTTTTTGAAAAAACATACACGTACAGAGAGAGAGTCCACGTACAGGAGAGACGTGTCCACGCAGCCTGCCCTCGCGCTCGCGGCAATCCTCGAGAGTCCGTAGCTCTCCGCGCCCTCGCTGGTGCCTCGGCGCTCGCAGTCAACTGTCACACAAATAGACGAGCGCGGGAAAAGGTAGATACCGAAGGAACTCGAGTGGCGGGTCGCGGCTTCGCGTCACGCCGCCGGTGCGCGACCGAGGACTGCCCCGCCCCAGCTGAGCACCATCGGCCTCGTTGCTCGCCGTTTGAGTTGCCTCGCCTGCGCTGCGCCGCCCGCAGCGCGGCCCCGAGGCACCGGCACGCGCACCGCATGCGCGTCTCTACTCAGGGACTTGCGGAGTTGGGGAGGAGCGTGACGAGAGCCGCCAGCCTCGACACACAACTGCTCCTCCAATAGCTTCGCCATCCCGTTCGCCGGACGCGCCGTGGGCTCGCTCACCGGACGGCCTCCCGGAGCCGCACCATGCACGTTCACCGCTGCCTTCTGGCTGTCACGGGGGCTCTCCGGCCTGAGAGCGGCCGGGGGAGGGCGGGAAGGGGGGCTCGTCAACTTCCAAATCTGGTGATCTCTGGTCTATCGACTGGCACAAGAGAAACGCTTCGAGAGGATTGTCTAGACATCTAGGGGCATTACCACTGGTAAAGAATGCTGGGTGGCACCGACGTACTTGGCGCCGGTAGGCTGAGTGCAGGCACACCAGCGAGGCTGCCGCACGGCGTTGGGCTTGCAGGCACACCAGCCAGGCTGCTGCGAGGCGACTTTGCTTGAAGGCAGTGATTCGCGTGCGGTCTTGCGCAGTGCTCCTCACCCGCGAGGTGTACAGCCGCAGCATCGGGCCTCCACGACTCGATAGCACCGCCTCTGGGCGAGAGCATCGCAACTTGCACGCACCTATCCGGTGCAGATTTATGCGTAACCGCCGCCCGATGATTGCGAGTACGAGCCCAGAGCAGACCTGGTAGAGACAGTCGCAGAGGGCGTCGTGCACAGTGTTTGGCAGTGTTGTCGGTACAGAACCAATAAGCAGCACAAAGGCGGAAGCAGCTGGCTTGGTATGATCTAGTTTCTCGGATGCCACTGCACAGCGTGGCGGCATGTTGTATGTGTCATGTTTTCACGGACGTAAATAAAAGCGATCGGCAGCTCAACCTTCCGACGACAGCCCGGCAACAGCGAGAGGGGGGCGGGAGTGTGACCATGCCCGTGCGATGCGGCGTGCGGGTGACTTTGGAGACGGCGAGGCGGAGAGGGAGGTGTCGGTCGACTCGGTGGCGTTGGAGTTCGGCGACGAGGGCACCTCTAGCATCGAGGGCGACCCTGGGCACGGCACGGCAGGCAGGCCCTCCATCAGCATCAGGAAGGATCGGAGGTCGGAGAGCTCCATCGACGGCTGCGTGGTCGGGTCCTTCATTACTCCTGCGAGCGAGAGGGCGGGCGCTGGAGGCCGTGCGAGCCGGTGCGCGCGTGCGGCGCGCTGCGCGCTTCGCGCAGCTCGTGGCAGGTGCGGGCGAGGGCTCCAGCAGGACGCACCTTGTGTTGATGAGCGGTGCAAGGCTTAGGGGGGCGGTTTTGGAATCCCGTCGCGACCAAGAACGGTCGTCCGTTTCCCGAAACGATCGGAGCTGCTGTAATAATCTCGAAACGTCCCCGGCGGTTATTGGAAACGTTGCCGACTGATCGAGTCCCAGGCAAGTTTTACGGCCGCAGGCGATTGATGGCGGCGGAAGGTATGGGGGGCCGTGGCGAGGCTGCCTGCTCGAGTCCGAAAAAAACAAACCAGCCCGGCATGGATGGATGGATGGGCTCTTCGAACAGAGTAGGGTACTCGTAGGTGTGATGTACGCGCAGGGGTGGCGCGTATTTCCATACGAAGCTTGAGGGTGGTCTACGGGTGCCACCGTCGGGATCTGACTGAGGCGGCCCGGGGTGGTGTTAGCTGCTTTTTACTTGCGAGACGGAACGTGCCGCAAGCGCCAAGGCGCAAGGGGAAACAACTCTCTCTCCCAGCAGACAGGCTCGACACAGGTGCGAACTGGCGCGTGCTAGCACTGTCACAGGCACACCACCGGAGCCGCGTAAGCGACTCCGTTAATAAAGTATTTTACGACAAAACTCTAGACCAGTCCAGTCCGAGCCTGACTGTTCTTCACCTTCCTACATACACACATACTCCCTCGCACGACACTGGGCACGGGACTGGCGCGCAGTGGCACTAGCACAGGTACACCACGGGAGCCGCCTAAGCGACTCCTGCGAGGGCGGCCAGCTAACCAGCTCTGCATCTCGCAACACACTCATGACAGGGACAGACCAGGCGCAGGAAAAGGGAGCGGGGCCCGAATCCAAGGGACCACCCCGTCGGGCGGAAGAGCTGAGAACTCAGGTCCAGTAGGAAGGCTGCTGGCTCCTGACTCATCCCCCAAATCCCCCACCCCTCTGGCCTGAAAGCAAACCTTACCATTCCACCACCTCACACCCCCCCCCTCCCCTAGCGCCTAGGGCTAAGCAGTGCGCGAGCCCACCCGACTTCAGGCGAGACGTCGACCACTCCTCGGGAATAGTTCTGTCAGTGGCTGCACTAGATGCCCATAGAGGCGCGCGGCGCGGGCGGATGACTAGGGGAGAAAAAGCGGAGATCCTAGCTCGCTGGGAGACGTGCGCAACCTAAAGTTGGGAATAGGGGAGAGAAGTGTCAGTGTGAGGGGAGGGCGTACGCGCCGGCGTTTTTGTGAACAGCTTTTTTATCTAAACCCGGAGCTGCTCGGCCCCCACTGTTGCACTACCGAGAGATCAAACAAGACGGGACAGCCACGGCCCCCGGAGCGCGCGGCGGGCCGCGGCCGCGCGGGGAGCGGGGCCGGGGGGAGCAGGGCCCCTGCGCGTGCTGCGCGGGGCCGGGCCTGGGAGAGCCGCGCGGGGTTGTCGCGCGCACTCGGCAGGGGATTCCGAGCGCGTACCTTATAGACTTTTTCGTTGGTCGAAACGTGGACGGTGTTCACGTAGAGGCTATACGCGCCCTAGCCGGGAAAACCGCGACGCTGTGCAAAGAGAGCACGAATAGGTAGGCGCGATGAGACTGCGCGCTGGCCAGTTTGCACTGTGTGTGGGTGTGTGTGTTAGCTGTCACTGCGGGCGTCATGACCCGCCGGTCGGCGAGTCGTGACTGGGGCTCGGACCGCGGCGGAGCCACGTCTGCTGCTCGGCGGTGGCCGCGGTGCCAGCGGCCGCCACACCGCACCCGCCCGTCTCCTCGAACCCTGCCCCTAGCGACTCCTCCGCAGATCGCCATTTACCCAGCTGCGGCGCCGGGTCCGACACGGCGCGCGCGGGCGTGCGCGGGCTGCGGCTGCCGCGGCTTGCGGCGAGGGAGTGGATCGACGAGGGCGTCTGCGACTCGGGGTCCGAAAGGGACTCCTCGCCGGACGTCACCTGCATCAAATGCGAACACAACGACTCGGGCGTGTCTCGGGTGGTCTCAGCCCATCTCGGGCCCAAGAGCGCCCCCTCGCCGCACACGCTCCCTTGAGCGGCCCTTGAGCGGTGTGCCTTCTCTCCCCGTCTCTCCCCCGTCTCTCCCGCGTCTCTCCCCCGTCTCTCCCGCGTCTCTCCCCCGTCTCTCCCCGTCTCTCCCCGTCTCTCCCCGTCTCTCCCCGTCTCTCCCCGTCTCTCGGGCACCTTGAGCAGCGCCGTGCCTTCGCTCGCGATGGCTCGCACCGGCGCCACTCCTGGGTCGCGCCCTGTCCGCTTCCCGCACGCTCTCGCGATGCGGTCGGCGAGCGGACTGCCGGGCGACGCCAGGTTGAAGAGCAGCGTCGAGAGGACGACCATGTTGACACCGACGATGACGCGCGCCGTGACCGGCACGTCGAAGAGGAGGGCCGAGGCCACGGCGTTGAGCACAATCGAGATTCCGACGGCGAAAGTCTTGAGGATGTTGTCCGCAAACTTGAGCGCCATCGAGACGGCGACGCCGCCGAGCGCGTTGAGTGCCACCGCCACCCACACGACCATGTTGAACCCGACCATCAGGTTCCCTCGCCGGAGGTGGCTGTAGTCGTACACAACCATGGTGACATAGGGTGAGGGTGAGGGTGAGGGTGAGGGTGAGGGTGAGGGTGAGGGTGAGGGTGAGGGTGAGGGTGAGGGTGAGGGTGAGGGTGAGGGTGAGGGTGAGGGTGAGGGTGAGGGTGAGGGTGAGGGTGAGGGTGAGGGTGAGGGTGAGGGTGAGGGTGAGGGTGAGGGTGAGGGTGAGGGTGAGTTGCAGTCACACACAGCCATGGTGGCCTGTGCCACGGGATGGGCCGAGGCGAGGGCGGGAAGGGCGGGGAGGAGGTAGAGCACTCGTGGCACGAGGGAGAGACGCGCAGTGAGTACAGCATGCAGCGGAAGGCAGCAGGAGTACACAGGTGCATGTCCTCTCCATACCGACGGCCGAAAGCACTGGTTGGAAGGCAGGAACACGGGTCCGCTTCTAAGAGGCACTTCTAAGAGGCAGGCTGACCCAGGCGGTCGGCAGCGCGAAGAGCGAGAGCTGTATGGACTGCAGCCAGAGCGTGAGCGGGAGCGACTTGAAGAGCTTCTCCAGAAAGACGCCCGAGTAGGCCGAGAGCATCGTCGCAAGCAGCATCGCCCCGGCGCCCGAGAGCGAGTTGCGGTCCTGGCTGCCGTTTCCGCCGGTCTTGTCCTGCAGCTGCATCACAACTAGGCCGAGCGTGAGAACGAGCAGGGCGCCCCACTGCGGCAGGTTGAGCCGCCGGTCAAGCATGAGCACGGTCGCGACCGCCGTCGTGATGACCTTCATCTGCGAGGTGACCGCCGCCGTGACGGGGTCGAGGTGTGACAGCGCATAGTACCAGAGGTTGTTCTGGAGGGTGTAGCAGAGGGCGGGGACGGCGAAGAGGAGCGTCGTCGAGCCGTGCTCGAAGGGCAGCGCGGCGACCAGCGACACCGCTCTCCGCAGCGAGCTCTCCTCCGCCGCGAGCAGCAGCACCGCCGCCGCGAACTTTAGGCACTCGGCGTAAAAGACGGCGACGGTCGGGAGGTACGCGGGCCGGAGCGTGCGCGAGTAGCTCGTCACGAGGATCAGCGACGAGTTCTGTACCACGATCAGCACCAGGCAGAACGCGCGAAGAGTCTGATCCCGCCGGCTCGACTCTCCCAGCTTTGGCATCGTGGCGGCGGCGCGGCGGCAGTGTGCGCGGGGCTATGCAGCCCGGCCCGAGAGAGCGAGGCGGCTCGTAGGTCCTGTGTGGCGCGGCAGCGGCGGCACTCCTAGGGCCGCGGCGACGGCAAGCCCGGCCTGTGCCCGCGGGGCAAGACGGTGGATGGACGGAGCGCTCGTGGAAGCACCCGGCGACACGACAACTTCTACACCTTGACCGCGCGTCGTTTTGCCAACTCTTTATTTTTTTTGAGAGCGCCTTCGTTGTTAATAGTACAAACCAATGGTCCCTTGCAAGCGGTCCTTTGTTGCAGTCGCACACACGCACACGCCGCGCCGCACCGCGCGCCCGCCCGCTGCCCCGCCCAGGCGGGAAAGAGACGAGGGGATGGGACAGCGAAGGAGGAGCCCAACACGTATGGGAGGGTTCAGTTGTGCGTCACGCTGCCCGGCGTTTCTCACTTTCCGGGAGTGACCCCTACACTCTACCCCGACCCCATTCCCCCCTCCTCGTTCCCGCCCGCCTCGAACTCTCTGGACCCCGACAAGCCGCTCGACGTTATGGGCCTCTGCCCCGCACGCCCCCGCCCCTTCTCGCTTCTGCCCCTCGCACACACCCAGGCCCGACACGCACATACAAGACAAACCCGGCGTCCTGCTCTCAAAAGAAAAGAAAAAATGGGAAGGAGGAGACCAGCGGGGGAGACTCCCCGCCTATGCAACACCCCAGGGAGGGGCTGCCATCGCCGAAGCTGTGCCTAAGCATAACTCCCAAACCCGCAGCGGCCCGGGAGGCCTTGGGGGCAGCCTGCCGGACCGCTGTTGCACGGGGCTAAGCACCAGAAGATGAGTGTAGTTGATGGATCGGGCTGTCGACCGTGCCTCCCCTCTTTTCATCAGAGTGGGACCTACGCCGCGCCGGGTAGGGGGCGCGCCTGTCGTCTGTGCGGGGAGAGCGGCATTGTGCATGGAGTGCATTGCCGTTCTTAACGGAGTCGCTTAGGCGGCTCCGGTGGTGAGCCGGTGTGTGTGCCAGTCCGCGCCAGTCCGCGCCCTTGTCGTGCCAAGGCTTGTCGTTTAAGAATTCTGCTCCCGAGAAATTCTTCGAGGTCTCGGAATTGTTTTTTTTTACCTTGCTTCATCGCAGATGGGCGAGGCGCTGCTCTTGCGCCTGGCAGTGATTATAGCCACCGCTATCGCTGTCGTATGCCTCTTCCGCCAGCCGCTCTCCGCTGCACCGCCACCCCGCCAGGCGCCAGCCTCCTGGGCGAGGCTTCCGGACCGATGCGCCCCGGCGTGCTGTCCCATGGCCAAGTGCATGGCATGCGGGCCGGGCACAACCTCGTTGCCCAGGCACAGCCCCGCCGACTCCGTGACGGGCTGCGAGCCGGTTTGCGACTTTCGCTGCATTGAGACACCGGCGCGGGCGGCATTCGAGCCAGCGCCGTCGCGGCTGCTGGCGGGTCCTGACTGGTCGGTGGCGGCGTCGCTCCGGGCGCTCGAGCTCGAGCATTCGGCGGTCTGAAACCCTAGATGCGGAAGCAGCTCCGTATCCAGCTCGCTCTCGAGAGGACACGGCAGTAAGCCATAGATGGAGACACCGCACGGCACCGTCTTCGCGCCGCGACGTTGGTGGTGCTCCTGACGCTAGGTCTGGAACTCGACTCGACGCGTCGTCGTGGTCGGCCTCAAGGTGCGCCGCGACTTCAACGTCTACCGCGCCGCCTTTGCCTCTCGAGGCTTTGCGGCGATGCACCTGCCGACGCCACTGCTGCTGCGCTCTGAGCCGGGGTCTGGGCTGCACTACGGCCCTGTGGCGGCGCCGAGGCGGCTAGAGAGTGTCGCGGCCGTGCTCTGCCACTCTGTTCTCGCCAGCCACTGCTTCAAGGGGTATCCGGACGCCGCGGGCGGCGCGGAGGCTGCCAGCCTTAGATCGGGGGATGCGCACTCATGTACTCCGGCACGGCTCGATACCCCCCTCCCGCCCTGACTCTGGTTTGTTCGCGCCGCAGGCCGCCAACGCGACGGACCCGTCCGAGGCGGCGCGCCGCATCTTTGGCGCCGTCGAGCCGTCGGTCAAGATGGCTACACCCTGATTTCCACGAACCTACTCGGAACTTTCTTGTAGGCGCCGTCGAGCCGTCGGTCAAGATCAACCGCCTGCCAGGCGCGCGGCAGGTGCGTTTGTGGTAGCCCAAGACAGCGCTACACAACGGCCTCTACGTTGGGTCGTGCCTAGAAGAAGCCGCAGGGAAATCCCACCCGCACCCCGAGCCATCGTCGTGGAGCGCGTACGCGACGTAGATAGAGAGGTGGTGCGGTCTGGGTGGACGCTAGACAGGGGTCGACGCACGCTGGAGCGAAAAGCAGACACACAAACTCACCCCGTGATGCGACGTCGTCCGGCAGGTGCTCACCGCCAAGGATGGCCTCTGCGCCACCCTCCGCGCCTCGGGCCTGTCGGCGGCGGAGACGTCGCGCTTCACTTTTCCATGCTGGAGCCTGCCCGAGGACCGACGCCGCTTGCGCGACGCGCTGCGAAGGGGTGTCGACAGTTCGGTGCAGTCGAGCGATGCGGTGCGAGGAGGTGTCGAGCCGCACGCGCCTCAAGGCGATGCGGGAGGAGGCAATGGAGGAGGCAATGGTGGCAATGGAGGCGGAGATTCAGGCGATGCATTGGGCGGTGGGGTCGACGTGGGGCAAGCCCAGGCCGGCTGGCGGCGCAGAGAGGCGTTCCCGTGGCGGCGCGGGTTGTGGATCGTCAAGCCAGCCCGCGGATCGGTGGGGCACGGCATTGCCATCGCAAACGCATCGGAGCTGCTCGCAGCGATGCGCGGGGAGGCCGTCGCGCTCTCCTACGGCGGCTCCTTCCCTCCCGGCCGTGCGGTCGTATCGCCCTACCTCTCCGAGCCCCTGCTTCACGACGGCCGCAAGTGGGACTTGCGCACCTACGTCCTCTGCACGTCGGCGCTGCCGATGCGGCTGTACCTCTTCACGGAGGGCGTCGTGCGCTATGCCGCCGCCGCGTACGGTTCCTCCGGTCGCGCAGCGTACCTCACCAACACGCACGTTGGGAAGGAAACGCTGCACCGTGGCATCGCTCCCATCACGGGCACCTTCGCCGCGCTCGGTGACCACTTTAGCGCGCGCGCCCAGCGAGGTGGTGGGGAGGGCGAAGGCGGAGGCGGAGGGGGCGGCGGAGAGGGCGGCGGAGGCGGAGGCGGGCCGCTCTTCCGCGGGCACGCCTCCATGCTGGGCGCGATGCGGCGCGTCGTCGGCGCGCTCTTTCTCTCCGCGGAGCCGCAGTTCTCACGCTTCTACGAGGCGAGATCTAGTCGAGATCTAGTCGAGATCTAGTCGAGATCGCCCGAGATCGCCCGAGATTGCCCGAGACAACCGAGGCTACACAAGGCTACGCGAGACCACCGAGAGACGAGCTCACCCGCACCTCCCCGTTGCCTCCCCGTCGGATGAGGCGCGCATGCGGCAGAGGCGCGCAGGCGCGGGGACGGGACAGTCTGGTGGCTCGAGGCTGGCCGGCGGTGGCGGCGCGTTGGGGTGCGCCTCGTGCTACCACATCTTCGGAGTCGACCTGATCGCTGACCGCGGAGGGGAGTTCCGCGTCATCGAGGTGAATGTCCAGCCTGACCTCACCCTCTCCCAATCCGGTTGCGCGGCTGCCGCGGCTAGCGCAGCTCCCGCGAGCACCGACACCGGAGCGGCGGGCGACGGCTGCTGGGGAGGCTCCTTCTCGTATGACCACGCCAAGCGAGCCGCCGCGTACAACGCCGTGAGCGTCGTCTACGCCGACCGGTCCGCCGCAGCGACGCTCGCGAGACTGCTCACGCCGCTCGCCGGGCGGGTGATCGCCTTCCCGCGGCTGCTCGCCCCCGGCGGCGGCTTGGCCGCCGACGCCCTCTCCTACTTGCTCGAGGCGGTGCGAGAGGGCGCCGCCGGATGCTTGCCTGCCGCTGTACCCTTGAACTGTCCACCAACTTGCTCGGAACTGTCTTGTAGGCGTTGCCGCCGGGTGCTTCCTGCCCGTGTACCCCTCCGGCCGAGCGCGCAGCGAGCACGCCACTCGTTGGAGGCGCCTCGCGGGCGATGGGAGCTTTCCGTGAGCCTTCTCGGAAGCTTCCTGCAGGCACGCCGCGCACTGGAGGCGCTTGGCGGCCGCCGCAACGACGAAGTGGGGGTGCGGCGGCGAGGGCGGCTGCGGCGGCTTCGATTTTGAGCGGCGGCGGCAGATGGACGCGCTTCTGCATGGGGCCCTGCATGGCGAGGCGGAGAGTACCTACGTTTTTCTAGATGCCCCGAGGTAGGGAGGCCCCCCCGCAAAGGGAGGGGGCGGGGGGG